TCTGTAACGGTATTTCGCAATTTTGAACTCGCATCTGGAGCGGATTAAATATATTCCCATAGTTATCAATGGGAAATAGCACCCTGCATACCCTATGTCGTTATGGAAAGGATTAAGATCGTTATCTGAGGTAGCAGTATATTTTACAAAGCTGATGAAGAAATCATATATTTAACAATATAAGTATGAATATTTTATATAGTTTACCGAAATGATGTCAAATTTTGATATTTTTTACTTGGAGAATGCATTTTTTTATTGAACGACTAGGACCCTTTGTTTCTTAGTTATATTCGAACTGTCATTTTAATAATGCGTTTCTAGAAACAATTACTACACAATTACTACATTAATTGTTTTAAAATAATTTATTTCAAAAGTTTTTTATTTCCAAAGGATTAAAAGGAGATCATTATTAGCATCAGAGGTGCTATTAGTCTCGAAACTCAATTTTTTCTACGTATCACTTTTCTAATATGGTGCCACCAAATGTTATCGCCATGCATTATCTTTAAAAAAATAACATACCGAATATAAAAAAAGTATGGCAACACAAATAAAAAAGGATGCTGATATCCAGTGTTATCGTAAATTATAAGAAAATATTCCTTTAAAGAAACTGAATTATATGGACTGGATGAAATATATATTTCAGAGTGGGTTACTATTTCTAATTAAAACAATGAAGGAAAGCAACTTTCTAATGAAGGAAAATCATCAGTCATCGTATTAATCCGAATTTAAGCCATAGCCGGATTTTGAAACTGGAAAAATTAGAAAAGATAATAAAAAGCAACCTCTTTCCAATTTAAATCCACCAAGACTTTAAAATTGGAAAATAATTTTTAAAAAATAAAAATAATTCCGTGATATGTAATGATTTTTTTAATAGGTTACTATTATATAGATAACAAGCTACCTAATTTATTGACAAATAAGGTATTAAAATATTTCCTTTTAACTTCCTAAATTTACATCCTAAATTTACGGCTTAAATATGAATAAAAAAGGCGGCTTGAATTCAAAGTAATGCGTAAGTGTATATATATTGACCTGATAATAAAAATAAAATGACAGTCGGAATTTCTTGATTTTTGAGTTTACAGATTTCTATAGAATATTCAGAAACACTTAGCAAAGCTACAACGATCCTAATTCCCTTCACAAACAATTTAAACGAAAAATTGTTTCAATTTTCAATTGCGTATCAACATAACAAAATTTACTAATAACTTAAATACAAAATGCTCTCTCGGATTTATAAGTGAACTTCAAGTGAACTTCTGAGAACCTTACCTCCTAAAATTGCAGTTACGTTTAATAATATGTCAACAGAGGCAAACATTGCTATTTTGTTTAAAACAAATACTAGCCGTTAAACGATCTAGCCGATCTATGGCGTTAACTCACAGAAACGCGGAAGTGACTAATAAATTAATCACATGTTTATTGAAATTGAACTTGCGATAAAATTATAATGAAATGCTGATTTTCAAAATCATTAACTACCTAAAATAGTAATTATAAAAAAAAGGAAATTATATAAGCATTTTAATGAATCCAGCTAGTGTCCTTTCATTAAAATATTTAATATTTCTAATTAAAATATTTCTTGGTTTCAATGCATTTTTAACTGAAATCATTCAAATTCAAAAGACGAAAAAATGTTCTTAAGGATTCCGTTTATTGACTTTGATTCGCTTAATTTGTTAATCAGTAACAGGCAGATTAAATTTGAAAGCAAAATATATTATGCTTTGTCCAACACCAATACACTGCGAGTGGAAGATAAAAGTATCTTATTTCCGACACTGGCAACACACTGCTTTCAAATAGTAGCTGAGTTTGTGGACTAAAAGTGGAAGATAAATAAATAACTTACATTTTGCCAAATGGGCAAAAGTCTAGAACGCTGAAGATAAAAATATTTCATTTCGAGAGCAGTGTTGCCATTACTCGTTTTGAAACTGCTCAGTTTGTTAATCCAAAATTCATTAAATTTATATGAAATATGAAATAAATAAACAACAAATCCGAAATTCAAAATTCGGGCTTCGAGGTGCTTATAATTGGGTGGCTCTACGTATCGCCGATTTTCTGCAGCTTGAGAAACATACGTAATACATACATACACATATATTCATACATAGAAATACAGATTCTTCACTATTTAATGATAGAGATAGCGTGTACACAGTATTGAAATATTTTCAGTTCTTTAGATTTATATGAGTTTCAAAAAGGAAATTATAGTGTTGTGTGTTTTTAAATGGACAAAGTTTTGGATAAAATTTTTATCTACTGCATATATTACGATGTAACCTTTATTATATATATATATATATATATTATATTAAAAAAAAAAACAGAACGCCGCGCTTTCTGAGTACAACCGCTTTTCAAATCTTCTTCCCGAACTATTGTTATTTTTCCTTTCAAGACAACGATCTTAAATATGGGAGAAAATCGGACCGTTTTGCTTTGTTTCGACATGTGTCCTCTAATGACAGCAAGAAAATGATGATCCATAGGTAGTTAGTTGCTTGCATTAAAGGCTTACAGAAGCCATGCTTCATTTAGTGCATTCTACGGCATTAACTACGTTCCTTTTTCATTATCATTACGTCGCCCCTCCCGCTTTTCTTTTCTCTTTTCATTCTGTAACGGCCGCAGTATGAGGATGAGATCGTAATCCAGGCCACTGCACAACTAATGGGAAATATAGTTAAAATTTAGGCGGAATTAAGAACGAAGTTCATGTCTTCAGTCTGAGGATTTGTCTGGACTACAAGCAGCCTTCTTGCCGGTAGGGAAATCGTTCGCCATTTACATGCAACTGTTCTCAGGTGAGAACATTAATCTCTATTACAACTATAATCACATTAATCTCTAACCAAAGTTTTAGAATTTCGGTTATTAACGATGCGTACACTGTTATCTGTTTAATGAGTTATTTCTACTACTAAAGAATGAAAAATCTGCTTGTATGTATATATGTTCCTCGTATTGTGAAGGAACAGGGTACCTAGAGCTGTCACATTGGTAGCACATGTAGTCCTCCAACCGAACATGGATATTCAAAGCCCGAATTTTGAATTTCGAATAAATTGTTTACTTATTTTATGCGAATTTAGAGAACTTTTGATTAAAAACTCAGCGATAAAAAGGCTTTGTGTTGCCATTCAGCTAAGCTTAAGGTATTTATTTATTTTTCAAACTTAATCAAAAACCTCAGCGATCTAAAGGAAATGTGTTGCAACTGCCCGAATTAAAATATTTTTATCTTTTCACACAACAGTGTGTTGTAGTTCCACATAATGCAAGATATTTAATTTTTATTTCAAACTACTGTTATTAATAAACAAACTAAGCGATTTAAACGCAATAAATGCATATTCATTTCAATTATTATTAATTTCCAGCTGGACCGAACGTGGGCACCTCGAAGTCCGAATATTTCGTTTCGAATTTGTTTTCATTTTATTCTATGTTTTGTACGAATTTAAGAAAATTTTGGTTAAAAACTCGACGATTCAAATACTTTCTGTTGCCACTCTGTAGAGCGTAAGATATTTATGTTTCAGATTTAATCAAATAAGTGTGTTTGCACTGGCTCAAAAGACAATATATTTGCCTTTTAATTTAATCTCACGTTTTAGGGAAGCGATGGCACCTAAACCCACCCAATTTTGAGCGTACATAGTCCATTACCCGAACAAGGGCATCTCAAAATCAAAACTGAATTTTGAATTTCTTTTTTATTTATTTTATTGTGCGAATCCAAGGAATTTGTTATGAAAAACTCAACATATTGAGTAGGAAAAAAATACTTTATTTTATATAATATAGTAAAGCAGCTTGGAAAATGCATGTCTGCGATGTTATTGTCATGCGATGATTTGTAGGTGCTTTATCTTTTACCTCGATATTTTTGCCGACGTTGTTTTTAACTGCGAAGTTTTCGATTAGCTTCATATTCGACGACGATGTTTTATACTATGATGGTTTTTGGACTGCGATGTTTTAGCCTTTGTTTTCTCACACGATGTTTTGTACGAAAATGTTTTCGCCTTGCCTTGTTTTCTCTGCGAAGTTTTCGTCCGCGATGTTTTTGCCGTGATATTCTCGCCTGTAACGGAATAAATTACAATGGCACTATGATTCGCAAAACAAAGGGTACGCTCTACATATAACATACTGAGTTGTCTTTTCTTGACAACAAAACAAGTTAAAATTTTTGGTAGATGACATGACCCGCATTCAGTGGAGTAGCGCCCAGGGTAAAATACCTTTTCCGCGCCCCCCTTCCGCTAGAAAACACAGTGATATGATGAAAATCTTGTTTGGAGACCATATGGCGCCCTTCCGCGAGCGGCGCCCGGGCCATCATACACCCCTTGCCCCCCTCCCCCCTCGCTACGCTACTGCCCGGATTAGTTTAGATTGTCGAATGCGTTTATTACAGTTCAGTACGGCAATAGCAGAAAGTTTAGCATTTTTTGGGTTCGTAATTAACACGCCATCAAGACGAGGTGGCTTGTAGTCAAGGACCCCGAGTCTTAGGAATTCATTCACTTCAGAAGCTTCAGAAATCATCAGAAGTTTCACGTAGTTCCTGTGCACGATGTAAGATATGAGAACATTGGACACCGGCCAATACATAAAGACGGGCATGAACGGTCTTTTGTAAATTGGAAACTTGTGAACTATGCTTATATTTTTACGAATTTTTACCTTGAGACCTGGTGCAATAGTAATTGCAACGACATCCTAGTTTCTACAAATGAAGTAGGAATTTGTTAATAGTTCTCCTTCAAAAACTTATAAACAATATTTTGCAAACACTTTTTTTTGGGGGGGGGTCTGAAAAAAATCACTGTCTGAAAGGATGCTGCTATTTCAGTTTAATTGTCCGTACTACTTTTGTACACGAAGTTAATTTCCTTTGATGCTGGGTGAGTTCTGCGAATCAAGAGAAGATGGGAAAATGAGGTACTTACCATTGTAGCATGCAGAAATCTCGTAAGTTGTGACTCCTGGTATGTCTAAATAGGGGTCTTGGATGTGCGTCAGAGTGGAAACTGAATGGTGAGACAACCGACATACATGCTGGCTAGGGTCCCCATAGTCGAAAGACTGACATCTGTAATTCACGCTCAGGCATTTCTGGCGGCATTCATCCAAAGAATTAACGTCTTGGTAAACAGCATCAACGGTTTTCAGCAGCTTGCCGTTCAGTTTACGAAATTCGCAAAGCCTTACAGGATCTGCGAACAGAAAAGAAAGTTCTTTAAGTGTCTTGCATAAAACTTTACAAAGTGGCATTTAGTTTTATAAAATAGCGATCTGAATCTCTCTTACAGCGACCGTCACAAAATACTTACAGTGAAACCTTGGTTCAAGAACTTAATTCGTTCCTAAAGATGATTCTCCATCCAAAATATCTGTAAGCCAATTTGTTTTCATAGAAATCAAAGCAAAACTCACTGATTCGTTCCCATTCCATTAATTCGAAAAAATTAGTTGAATCCTTGCTAATGCGCATTAAAAGAGTTTTATTTTTCAGATTTTAGCTGAAGGATATTCAACGAAATGTTGAATGTCTCATTATTTTCATATTTTTATTAAGTATAAACTGTTTCCTCAAGGTGTCTGAATACTTATGTGGGTTCATTTTCAGAACATTTTGAATAAATTATTTTTTTAAATCCAAAAACATCTTGAATAATTTTTTTAGAACAAGTAGATTTTAAAATAGATGACCAATACCATATGTGAAAGAAAAATACAATCATTTTGATATTTAGCAACTGAAATTTGCAAATAAATCTGGAAAAAAAAAGGTATCCGAAAACAAATGTGAACCACTGTAAATCCATCGGGTAATCAAACATGTGTATAGTATGAGCATGTATGAGTTGGGTATTGTTACGTGTATACTTGAAAATAAACCATAAACACGGGAATTCTACCGTATGTTGAAACCAAGAAAGTACCACAATCTATCCAAATAATATTATTACGGATGCCTTCTAAGTGGGATGGAAAATGCATTATTTCTGATAAGTATAGAGTGTTGACGGAAGTTAAAATATACGTCAGAAAAAATAGGTGGAGAATATATTCCGTTTGCAATTCAACTCTTCCACCGGCGAAATTGCTAAAAAATACAACTCCTAGGTGGTCTCGTGCAGTAACTACTTTAAAATCTTCTCCAATCATCACCGCGGGATCGGAAAACACGCGCTCATTCTAGCAAGACCGTCACACACCCGGAAGAATAACGTTGCTGCCATCGGCTAGAAGTTAAACTTTCGCCCGTTACCCGCCACATATGCCTGCGAGGAGTTACCTGGCCTGTTAACTTCCTTGTGGAGGTTCACATAAAGAGGAATTTCCGCGCACACATCGTCGCTGCATTGCTTCTCCCAAAAGAATACACAAGTCTTTAAAAAATTTAATCCATAAACTGCCATAAAACTGTGGCTTGAAAATAGCTTCGCGGATCAGATATCATTCTCCAGCAATAAGAAGTTCATGTCACTGGGTTTATTTCCCTGTGACTTCTATTATTTTGCATTTAATATGCATTTCATGGACGAGACTTTATTGCCGCGGACGGAAGATGAATATCAATGAGGGAGATAAAGTGAGTTCGCTGTGACCTCCGCGTAACGCAGAACATGAAACACGACCGGATAATGAAAAGTAGTAATGATGCATGTTTTTCTTCCGATTTTCTATGTGCAGAGATGATACTATCAGGATGATCAAAAATAAAAAATAAGTAATTTTGTATTTGAAATGTAAATACGAAGAAATTATACGGTCAATATGTGTGTTGATTTATTCATATGAAACAGAGCTCGCAAGTTCCAAGGTTCCAACTAAAACAACGGGAAAGTTTTTTTCGCAAGGACACATCTTTTTTTTAAACCATAGTTATTCAGAAAACAACTTTAATGATATTAAATTTATAATTTTAGTGATAGTTTTGAAATTAAATCTCCTTATTTTCTATTTTTAAAGTAAATATTTTAATAACTCATACCGAATTTTATTTTTTAAATTAGTATATTAGAACTTAATTATTTTTTATTTCAGAAAAATTATTGTAAAATTTAGTCCATTAAATTTGATGAAATATGCAAGACAGAACAATTTTTTTTTTCACATTTAGACATTATTTTCTTTAAATTTCCCATAGTTAAAATTATAATTCCTTTATTACAAAAGACATTCATTAATTAATTTTGAAAAAGAAATATCTAATATTTCAAAAATGAATGATACGCTCTCCATTACTAAATAATGATGAATCTATGTGTCTATTACATATATTGTATATATGCATGTATATTCCTCGCATTATGGAAAAACGGCGGTAAATAGAACCACCCAGTTTTCAATACCCGCAGTCCTCCATCCGAATAAGGGCACCTCGAAGACCGAATTTTGAGTTTCGAATTGTTCTCTATTTATTTCACATTTTATGTAAATTGAAGGAACGTTCGATTAAAAAACTCAGCAATTTAAAAGTTTTATGCCATTGTACAAAGCGTAAAATATTTATGTTTCAAATTTAATCACATAACTCAGTGGTACGAAAGAAGTGTGCTGCCACTCGACAAAATGCAATACGTTTATCTTTCGGATTGAATGAACAAACTCCGCGATTTCAAAGGTATATGTTGCCATTGTTCGAATTAAAATATTGGTATCTTCTTGATTAAAATATATTTGTATTATTTTAATTAAAATAATACAAAATTATTTTAATATTGAACAACAAAAAGAAAACCACAGGATATGTTTTTTAACAATCAAAAAATTGTACAAGGTCGGGGGAAAAAAGGCGAAAAAAAAATTGTTCCTTCGATTCCTTAAGCTGGGAGCATGGTTCAACGACATCCCTATTTAGACCTGTACCCAACATACCATAGTTGTTCGAATTAAATTCAATTTATTTCTATCTTGGAGATTTGAAATGTGCAATGCTATACAATTTATCCCCGAACCTCGGGGCCCCATCAAAGGCCCAATGGTTAAGACCACGGAATCCTCGTAATTAGTACCCGACTTCTTGGGTGCAATTTCTTAATATTGATAGTTCGACCCGAATTCGATCCAAGAAGAAGGGGCTGGCTGCATGATCATTTTTCGTGGTTTCTCTTATGCGTAATGTGAATATGAGCCCATTTCCTTTAGAAAGTCCTCCACGAAGGCATACTATTTAAACAAAAAACACATTTCAACTTTTGGCATTATTTTGTTTTCATGGTTTGGGTTTATCATGCATTGTCTAAATTAAAAACTTTTATGTTTCAAACCAACATCTTCTTCCCCTTTTCCGGAAAAAAGATGAATCTAAAGAATTCTTACTAATTTTATTACAAATCTTAATGAATTGAATTACAGGAATAAAATCAAATTAATGGAATTAAAGTTAAACTTCAAGTTTCGAGGTGGGGTGGAAGTCTATGTGTTCTCATAATTGGGTGGCTTGGCTCTAGGTGCCGTCGTTCTTTCATAATGCGATTAAATTCGAAAGACAAATGTATTTGCGTTTTGCTGAATGCCAAAGTAATTCTTTTATTTCGCTGAATTTTCAGCTTAAATTTGAAACCAAATATTTCACGCTCTGCAGAGTGGCAACACAAAACTTTCAAATCGCTTAGTTTGCTAACTAAAAATTCACTAAATTCGCTCAAACTATTAAATAAATAAAAAAAATTATTCATGCGAAAACCTTCACTGATACTCATGACAGCCAATGTGTAAAAAGCTTACTTACTTTTCCTAAAACAACGCTAAGCCGACAATTGTTTCCGTTTCAACAATGCAACCATCTAGGGAAAACCTTCTCATCATTTTTATAAATTTAGTAAATTGACGCCAGTTTGGATTGTGTTCTGATCCAAGAAAGCGAAGCTACGTGCTTAATTAACCCCAGCTTTCCTAGTTTCGAACCATTAGGTCCTAGTCAACCATAAAGCACTCCCTCTCTTACGTTTTTGTTACATGTTGCCAATTCATTCCTTGCAAATAGACAGTCTTCCACCACAGAAAACATATGTTAAGTACCGCAATAGGGATTAGCCTGGATTTAACTCTTAACTTTGACTGTAATGCCCTTAACGGTCGCGAAAGTTATGTAAATGCTTATAATTAAAACTTCTTATTAACTCATGGGCGGTATCATCATCATTTGCTTATATGGAGAGTTAAGAAAGTTTAGCCGCATTCTTTCGTAAATCACTGCTGTGCTGACACGCTTCGTAGGATTAGAAGAGGAAATTATAGAATAACTCCATGAGCAGCATTTAATTAACCTTCGTTTTCGAAGCACATTCCACAGCAGGTCTAATCTGTCTCATCTTCGAATGCACGTTCTGAGCACTGTAATTGCAATAAATACGAAGCTAGAAAGATTCTACTAGGAAAGATAACTGTTCATTGAATTGTTGATATTTATTTTACTGCAGTTTGTTACGTATTTGTTTTACAGTACGTTCTTATGCGTTAAGAGTTTCACTGAGTTGCGTAGCTTCCGTCACTAGAGTTGGACGATCCGTTTGGATTTTATTCAAAGAACCGATTCAGTTTACTGAGTGAATTTACTCCGATTTCAAGAAATAGCGTTTTTGCAGTTCATGGACAGCTCTTCTTGGCCCTCGAAGGCAGAATTTTAAATTTCGAATTCTTTTTTTTTTTTTTTTTCATATTTTGTATAATTTAATGAATTTTTGATTTACAAACTCAGCGATCTGAAAGCAAGCAGTGGCAACACTGCTCGAAATAAAACGTTTTTATCTCCTTTTGCGCCAGACTATTACCATTCACCCAAAGTATAAATTATTTATCTTTGGTTTTAACCAACAAACTGATGCTATTTAAAAGCAATGTGTTGCCATTCAGGAAAATGTAAGATATATAATTTCCAAATTTAATCTACCTGTTACTGATTAGCACATTAAACAATTTAAAAGCAATAAACACAACAGTATTCTTAATACTTTTTAATATGATTTTTTAAATAAAAATAAACGTATTTAAATCAAGGGGTTGTCTAATTAGAAACATTAGACATTTTTATGAAATAATACTAGCATGACTCATTAAAATCATCATATATTTTTCTTTTCTTTTTTAATACAATTTCTATTTTAGGTAGTAAACCTTAACTCTAAATTATATGGTATTATCCCTCCTTTAATTCCATAATAATTAATACACTATTTAACTTGTTTTTATGACTGGATTCCAG